TGGTAGGGTTTATGAATGATAATGTATAAACACAAATGTTCCTGTCAGGTATACCTGACAGGAACCGCCGTCCGGCCTCCTCCTTTTGGGGGTCTTCCCGGTGGTATTTTTTGCTCAAATTTTTTGTGTATGTTCTTCATCAAGTCTAGTTCATCCATACCAAATTTCAGCAAAAAATTCAATCGGGAAGGTCGTCAAATGATTTTTCCAAGTTAACTGGTCCGGTATATGTATTTTCCGGACCAGTTAACTTGCAAAAATCATTTGACGACCTTCCCGATTGAATTTTTTTCTGAAATTTGGTATGGATAAACTAGACTTGATGAGGAACATACACAAAAAATTTGAGCAAAAAATACCACCGGTAAGGCCCCCAAAAGGAGGAGGCCGGACGGCGGCTCCGGTCAGGTATACCTGACCGGAAGATTACTCATGTATAAATAACACTTTTTTTTAAGGATTCTATGTGAAATATTGATTCGGGTCAAGATAACTGATTTGGGACGCTTAGAGCATCTCCAATGCTACAATGTGCACGGTGCACATGTGGCATGAGAGAGATAGACACAAAATATTGTTTTTATGACGTTTCTCTCTCCGTGTTTCCACGGTCTTATGTGTTTTTGGTAAGTTTTTCTCTGCAATGTCAACCACAATGTCTACTTCTAGACATTGTGCTTGACATTGTGAAGAAAAACTTACCAAAATGATATAAGATCCTTCAAATAAGGAGAGAGATACTTTATTTATTGTTTTTTGATTGGCTATCTCTCATGCAAAAGGAGATCCAAAATCCAAAAGAAGTAGAAGAAGAAAGAGACATGGAGCTCCAGCTGGTCAAAGAAGAGGATGAACCGAGTTCCAAGGTCAAATATCTATCCTTGTCATCCTTTGAGGTACCCCCAAAAATTCTAAAAACTTTGACGGAAACTCATAAAATTGACAAGGATAATGACATTTTTGAAATCTTCAGCAAAATTGAGGGATCAAAACATTTTCCGTTAACCATGTTTAACGATAATTTCTTTCTCTCACTCCCACCACATGAATCAATGAAAATCTGGATATTTGATCCTGGAAAGATTTTCAAAGTGAAGATTCGAGAAATTGAGCATTCCTATGGAAGTCCTAAGAGTGAAAGTGTGAAGAAGATAAACTATCACGATCCAAGTTTGAATGACTGAACACAATGATAGTGTCGTGTCACGATGTTAAATAAAGCGCTTCTTGGGAGGCAACCCATGCAAGGTACATTTACTTATTGTATTTTATGTTTGCACTTTAAAAAAAATCACCACATTCGTCTTTTCCAAATTCGAACCCAATACCCCAAACCCTCCATAGTTAATTACAATTTCACACCTCCATCCATCCACCATATCCACAAACTAAACTCATACTCTTTTTATTCTCTCCATTTTTTTTCATTTCTTTATCAACAAAAGCCACCAAATAATCCAAACTCGAATTCCCTAACTCCACCTACACCAAGTCAAAATTTTTGCTCAACCAACAAAGAAAGAAATGGCACCACAAAAAGGGTTCATCTTCTATGACGATGAGCACTAGGGACAGTGCTTTGGTTAGCTTGGGGGGAGAGTTTTATGGAATACTCACATTCATACTCTTTATTCTTGTTAAAAAAATAATAAAAGCTTGTTAAGTTGAAAACCTGAAAGGGCAACTTAAGCAAAAATAAAGCAAAAATAAGAGTGGGTTGTGAGGATTAAAACAGAAAAATGTGGGAAGCTAGGATGAAAACCCGAAAGAGCACATAGGCAAAATGAGAGAAACGAGAGAAAGAATATCTTTGCAGGATCCAAAGGGTAACAATGAAAAAAGAAAATTTGATAGGAGATTTGGAGTTGAAGGCCCCTTCTTACTCTTTTAGTTTTGGGAATACTTTGTGTTATTTTCTATAAACACTCATGGGTGTTGGTGTTGATATTCTTGTCATTTAAAGGACTTCTCAGATAGGATTTGGTTTACTCGAGACGAGTAAAGGTTCAAGTTTGGGGGTATTTGATGTGCACTAATTAGTAGTGCATAAATGTATATTTTTATGTTTGATTTGTGTGTATTGTTTACCATTTTTATTACTTTGTAAACATTTGTTTTATTTGGTTTGTAATTGTTTTTAGCTTCCATTTATAAGTTGTAAAGTAGTGGTAGAGTTTTTGGCAAGGAAACGGAGGAAAAACAAGAGGAATGCTGCTCAGGGACACGTACCCGGTCAGGTAGGAATACTCACCCGGTCGGGTACGATTTAACAAGCGAAAGTGCCTGGAAAATCATTGGACCAGGTCGGGTCCCCTACTTGACCCGGTCGGGTCAGATGTGACCCGAGACAAAACGACGTGCTGAAACACAAGAACGTGGAAGATTATTTGATTTTGACATACACCCGGTCGGGTGGGCACTTGACCCGGTCGGGTACCCGGCCAAAGGTGTTGAAAAACACCTATAAATAGCACATTTTTCCTTCACTATTTTCCATTCCTTCTTCCATACTCTTAAGCTCAGTTTAAAATAGTATTTCTTTTATATTTTTATAGCATGTTTAGTCTTCAAATGAGGAGCTAAACTTCTATTTCTTGGTGTTGCTCTTGAAGCTTGTTGATTATTAAAGTTGTGAGTTATTTTCTTAACTTCTTCCCTTGAATATTAATTCTTCCCTTAATCTATCTATATATTAATGTTGGGGATTGTTGCTAAGATGACAATTAGTTAACATCTCGACATTAGTTATAGTAGTATTCATTTACTTCCTATATATTCATGTTAGGGAGTGTTGCTAAGATGACAATTAGTTAACATCTTGACATTAGTTATAGTACGATTTATCATCTTTAATATTCTTCCTTGAATATTAATTAATTCCTATTCATATTTCATATTAATATTTTGAACATTACTTAAAGGATCAACTAGTTTTGTTTCATATATTAATTATTACTAGAATCGATTGACGAACCGATGGTTAATCGTTGATGGTTTCACAAGTAAGTAACTTCGGTTTATTAATGCACGGTCGTTGTTAATAAACTTAAGAGGGATTAATTTTGTTGGTTAAACCGAAACCATTGTGTTGAGGTTATCAATCTCAATTGATTTCATCAAGGAGTTAAGAGATTAAATGCTACTATCAAGTCGGTATATAGCGGTGTTCTATACTTGACTAATAGTAAGGGTTATTAATGAACGGTCGTTGTTAATAACTACCCTCGATGAATTGGATATACTCCTCGATTGAGTATTCGAGAGGGGATAAGTTATAGATATAACAATGATCGGCAAAAATATATTAACAAGTGGAAAGTAGCAATGCCAAGTCCTTTTTATCTTTGAATTAAATCTCATATAAGTCGTTCATCTTCGTATTTAATTAAATTAAATCACTCAATCCCAAAACCCCCCTTCTTTACTAGTTTTACTAAAAAGAGAATTATTCCTTTTCATGTGGATACGAACTCTACTTCATCTATACTACGTATAAGTGCTAGTATCGAATATTATTTTGACGCACCGTGATAAAGTGCTCGTCAATGAGCATATGATCAACGTTAAGACAAATTATCACACAATGTGGTCCAAACATTTTAGAATAAACACAGGAATCAGATGCATTCACTATAAATCCATATTCTACCACAGCATTATTAAAATTTTCATACCACTGTTTGGGCGCTTGTTTTAATCCATATAGGGACCTCTTCAATTTACACACCTTATTCTCCTGTCCAGGCATCACACAGCCCTCGGGTTGTCTCATATATATTTCTTCTTCCAAGTCACCATTCAGAAAAGTTGTTTTAACATCCATTTAATGTACAACTAGGTCATTAATAGCTGCTACGGCCACAAGAGATCTAATGGTTGCAATTTTAATTACAGGAGAATAAGTATCAAAATAATGCAATGACTTTCTTTTGGGTGTAACCAACTACAACTAACCTAGCTTTGAACTTTTCAAAAGTTCCGGTCTTAGTTTCCTCTTAAAAATCCACTTGCAATTTATAGGTTTACATCCCTTAGACAAATCAACTAGATTCCATGTATGATTGCACATTATTGAGTCAAGTTCACTTCTAATTGCTTCTTTCCAAAAGCTAGCAGCTATGGATGTTACTGCCTCACTGTATGTTTTAGGGTCTTTTTTTACAAGGAAAACTGAAACAAAACTCTCATAAATTTGATCAGTGTTCAACCAAGAAACTAGTTAAAAAATTCCGGCCCAAAACTAGTTTCTTTCCTTTTTCTTTTACCTTTCCTGGTTTCAGTCACATGTTTAGATGTATCCAGGGAACACACAGGCAGCACAAGTACGAAATTAGCATGAATATTGTGCAAATCATTCACAATAGATGAATCAGAATCATTTCTATCAATAGGCTTCTTCAAAGGAAAGATATTCTCAAAAAATTCAGCATCACGAGATTCACATATAGTTCTATCATTTAACGACATAAATCTATATGCAGCACTACCTTGAGCATAACTGACGAGCACACAATCAAAAGTTGTTGGTCCAATGTTTGTTCTTTTAAAATCAGGGAAGCCAACCTTAGCAAGACATCCCCACACTCTTAAGTAATTAAGGTTAGGTGAATACCCTTTCCACAACTCATATGGGATTTTTTCTATCCTTTTATGAGATACTTTGTTCAGAATATAACAAGCAGAAAGTACAGCTTCACCCCACATATTAATAGGAGGTGGATTTTTCATGAATAGGCCATATGTCTCTTACGTGTCCAAAATTGAATGGGCTGACTGCTGCTTCATAACAAAGAAGCGCAAACAGTTTAGTGAGCCATTTTGCTTTATAAGTGACTGTGGAGTACTTTAAGAATTTTTTTCAATAGTTAGGATTATTTTGATAAAATTAATATTTTGAATTATTTCAAATTAATCATTAATAGTTGGGATTATTCATATCCATTTTTCCATTTGGTAAACCACACTTTTTTCAAATTTTGTTTTACCAACTTGATCATTAGGCCTACGAACTGGGCTGAAGCTTTCAATTCCGAAGCTTAGAAACGAGGCCGAAACTTTTAATTCGGTATGGACATCACAAATAAAAAATCCACAGCCTCCCATTACATCGAGAATAACGTGGAAGTGGAAACTTCTTTTGCAGCTCTAGAGATATTATCCATTCACCTTGCATTTCGGTTACTGTGAGAAAAAACTCATAGCGATTTAGGGTTTTAAATGCAGGTATATTCGTGTGGGTCTGAAATTTTTGTTTTCTTACTATTTATATGTTAGAAATTCAATGATGACGCAATATGATTTGATAATAGATTAATACATGTTCGTATATCTGAATATCTGATATTGACTTGCATTTCAACTGCTTGCTTGACAAATTTTTTGGTTTACAGGTTACTGGAATATGCTTTGATTCCTTTTGCTTTTTTCTTCAATTCGCATGTAATTGTTAGGGTTACCTGCGGTATGGCTGCTAAAGATAGAATCAGTGAACTTCCTGGTGATGTAATTGACCATATTTTGGGGTTCTTACCAATTCGAGATGCTGCTAGAACTTCTGCTTTGTCTACAGTTTGGAGAGATGTCTGGTTAAGTCTTTCCCAACTTAGATTTGATAGGAAGTTTTTCAATTACATCCAGTACAACTACGTTATGGCCTCGGCCATGTTTATCATCAACAAAATTCTTATGAAACATAATGGACCTATTCGAAAATTTGTCTTTGATTTTACCATGTTTTATTTGAAAGACGACGAAGATAAGTCTCGATGGGCTGAATTTGATGAATTGTTACTTTTTCTCACAAGAAATGGTGTTGAAGAAATGGACCTATCTTTTGAGTCATCTGCGTACATATTGCCTGATTTCATATATTCTTGCTCAACACTGAAAAAGTTGAGTCTTTGTGGAGTGTTTATTGAACCAATAAAGGCCTCATGCATATTTCCTAATGTCACTTCTCTTTATCTTGAAGATGTTGAGTGTGATTCAAAAAATCTTGTTCAATGTCCTGCTGACCTTCCTATGCTCAAGTCTCTTGTGTGTCGAAATATTTCTGGTTTTAACATCACTGCCCCAAAGCTTAGCTGTTTAACAATTTGCTTTACTCTTAGACAAGGTATTCTTCCTGTTAACTTGGACATGAAAACAATCCATTCTCTTCATCTCGATGATTATTCGACAAAGGTATTTTCGACTAATCTTCTTTCTCTCTCTATTGTTGATATGTTTAAATTCTCCTTTTTAATATTATATAACTCCATCATTTTATTATTTCAAGGATTTTATTAAAGAGTTAACTAGATTGGGAAAGCAAGGAACTACACTCAATGTGAACCACCTCAAGCTAGGGGTTGATGTCAAAGATGATGAAATTTCTGCGTTCATTGATTTGTTGCGGATGTGCCCAAAGTTATACAGACTTGATATACTTCTACCGGTAATCTTCAGCATCATGAAGAATCATTGTTCTATTAAATTAAACTTTTCATTTATTTCCACCCTTTCTTGATGTACATTTTTGGCGTAAATACATATTTGACTGAATGAGTTATGTTCTCACATTCTTCTTTTTTTCAAATTCTTTTTAGTGGGATGTAGAGGCGACTACTATAGACTTCTTGTTGGAGCATCCAAAGTTTAATGTGGCCGAAACATGCAAAACAGTTCATGAATTGCATCTTTTCTGCATGTTTAGTGGGTCAAGGGGAGAAATGCTACTCTTCAAGTGGCTACTTACATGCTTTCCCATGCTTAAGAAGCTTTTCGTATTCCAAAGTACAGTATTTTCCTCCCAGACGGAGAACAGAAAAAAGCGGAAACTTTTGCGCTTTCTCCGGGGTTCTTCAAAAGCCAACATTGTTTACATTATAGAACGTCGTTAGATTTGTAGTCTATTTGAAGTATTTTGTTATACATAGTGCATATGACTATTTTCAAGTAAGGATGTTTTTACTTGGACTGTAATTTGCCCCAGACCAGTCCAGACCAGACCAGACCAGACCAGTTCAGACCAGACCAGACCAGACCAGACTTGGATAGTTATAAAAATACAAAGAAACCAGACCTTACCAGACCAGTTCAGACCAGACCAGACCAGACCAGACCAGATCAGACCAGATCAGACCAGACCAGACCAGACCAGCAAATTACAGTCCAAGTAAAAACATCCTAAGTCATCTATATGTAAACTTTCAACCTCCAAATTTTGCTGAAAGTTCCCTACTAGCTTTATGTCTTTAAGGCCAGCACGACTGAATTTCTTTAAGTGAGATTTCTCCATCCCCTAACCTACTATGATCTCGGGTACTGAATTTCAAGATTTCAGAAGTGGATCGAAATCGAGCTTGTTATATTCGGGCTGGTTGATTTCGGCTCAGTTACGAATAGAGGATTTCGGGCCTGATTTCAAAAAGTAGAAATTCAGGCCTGCTTCGAAATTGAGGATCTCGGGCCTTGGTTCAAAATTGAAGAATTCGGAGAAAAGGATTTCGGGCTGGCAAACTGGAGAAGATCTCGGTTGCTGATCTCGGGAGTAGCTCAAATTCTTTTGTTGAAGATATAAGATTTCGAGTACGCGAAAAACTTAATCTCGTACAAATAGGGTTCCTTTCGTGATCTTCTTTTCTTCCTTTAGAGCAGCTGCAAGTCTGCAACACAAACTACGTAAAATACCAAGAAAAAATCTAGAACTAATTCAACCAAAACTTGTGATTTTGATCAAATTAATTCCTTCAAAATTCTCAGAATAACGTTGAACAGAATTATGCTGAGGCTTTGATGCCAATTGTATGTAATCCCAGATCAACAGTCGAATAAACTCTAAATAATAATATGGAGAAATTGAGTAGAAGAGGAATAATTCATCAACAATTAATATTATATATTCATAATGATGTGACAATAATACATGATATACGTATGAATTGTTGAGAGAGAAAAATTAGAGGTGCTCTATGAGAATGATAAGTGCGGAATTAATCTTGTGGAGGCTTAGGCTATTTGAACCCCTATGCCTTTATTTATAGGAGAAAATTCGAACATCCTAGATTCCTAGTACAATTAGGACAGATAAGCGTCTGGACTTAATCACCTAAACAACATGTTTCTCTCTCAATTAAAAGTATGCTAATACTAAGACTAATTAATCAAAGATAATTACTATTAAATTGAACACAATAAATAATGTTCTAATATTTTTGAAGATTTTTTTTTTAAGATTTACAGTTAAGTAATTATGACATTATACTCGTAACTATTAGTCATATTTTTGTAATTAAGATTTATTTCATTAACTTTTTTTCAAAAGCTTTGAAATGAAATAATTAGTGCCATATTCGTCTCTGGTAATACATAAATGTGGTTATATAATTATATGATCGTAATAAATTACATATATAGTGAAGAAAATTTTAGTACTCCTAATTTCGAATTTCTCTTGTTTTGTAAGATTACAAAATGAATCATGTATTAAATCACGGAATTAAAAAAATGTATTAAATCACATATGGTTTCACAAATTCATGATTTTTTGTCTTTTATTTTTGGGATTACCATGGTTTTTATAGTTTTGTTTTATCAACTTTTTTTAGCCCTATCATCTTATATGATCTATTTAAGTTTGAGTTGGTAACGGTCTAAGTTTGTTCCGAAAAAATAAAATACTACCTCCATCGCATATTAGTTGTTTTTCTTTAAATTGACATGATTACTACTAATAAAGTAAACTGATAAGGATAATATATTTCTTTCCAAAAAAGTAAACAAGATATTCATTTTACTATTTTATGACAATGAAAATGGGACAACGAAAATGGGATAGAGGGACGGTGTCAGGGCAATGGGTTAGAGTATATGTTTATTTTACTATTGTTCAAATCTAATCTAATTTGATTTGTTTCAACCAATCTCTTATATTTAGGTCCGGTCATCAGGGGCGTAGTCAGGGCACTGGGCCGAACTGGACCGGTACAAAAAATATTTTTGGGAAAAAATTTACACAATTTTTTTGAAATAATGACCCCAATATTATCACTAGTCTTTTGAATTCCCAAAATATGACCCATTAAATATATTCCATAAAAATGACTCAATATTTTTAAATGAAATTCCCTAACCATTTCATCGATTCAATAACTAGGTATGCTAAAACTTCATTTGGTAAGCAAATCCACACCGTCACCAACACTGAGAGCATCTCTAATGGTAAAATGTGCACGGTGCACACGTGACATGATAAATAGCCACATAAATATTAGTAAATAAATTCTTTCTCTCCTTATTTGAATGATTTATACAGTTTTGATAAGTTTTTCTCCACACTGTCAAGGAGACCGTCTAGATGTTGACATTGTTGTTGACATTGCAGGAAAAAACTTACCAAAATTGTATAAAATCATTTGTTGGGATATATTATCCCGGCCTATTACTGTTCAAGAGCCCAAGATATTATCCAGTACGGAGCCTGAACAGTTAGGACCATTTCGGCCCATCCGGCCCACCTTAGCCTTTGGGCCTGTTTCGGCCCACTTGGCCCATTAGGGTGGAGAGTACTTCCCATCCCCTTTCCTTATAAATATGGGGGTTTCCCTCCATATGAGGGATCCCTTTTTCCTCCTTCTTCATGCTTCTTCTTCTCTAGATTAGATAATACTCCATTAATGGGAGCTTCAAGCTTGTATAATGTAATGGTGAGGAGAGTCTAATGAGAATTGAGAGGGCTTGGACATTAGCCTAAAAAGTCCCGTGGTTTTCTCCCTTTCGGGTTTCCACGTAAAAACTGAGTTGTTCATACACATTTATACATATATTTACTATATCGTGTTGGATTAAACTCAACACTGGCGCCGTCTGTGGGAATCTGTCCAAAAAGATTCATGTGTTTTACTGTTCTTGAGTTTCTACAAAAAATTCATACGGATGAACTCAATTCTAGTGAAAAAAAAAAAAAAATCTAGGAAGAAGGTCTGACGTGAGCAGGGAAAGGAAGGAAGAATCTGGGAAAATTATGACCGAAATTCCCCAGATCTGTTTCGGGGTCGCCTGAGCCGCCTTCACCTATCCCGCCATGGTAGGCCCTCCGGTGGGTTCAGCTCCACCAGTTGGAGACCGCTGCGGCATCCCAGATCTCGTAATATCGGTCCTAGGAGGGCTCCGTTGCAGCAGCACTGTTCATCGGACGTAGCTGGGTCCTCCGACTGGGACGCAGCACCATCTTTCATCGCTGTCCTTCGGCCCCTGACCTCTGTTAATGCGACGAGGTTTGTAAGCTGAGGGCTCCTCGAGCTCTGCCATGGATGTTTGCTTGGAGCTCAGAGAAGGTATGCTTCGGAGCTCGGCCAATCTGTCACCGTAGGCTAGCTTTTCCAGCCGCACTCTCTCTGCTATAGCTTCCGTCGCCACCAGTCAGCAGCCGACCCGCACTGATGGACCTTGGTGGGATGTTGCGTCTGTCTCTCCACGAGATGCTCCTCACTCGGCTGAAAGTAGACCACGACTCCAAGGTTAGAGCCAAGGGATAGAGGGCCCAATCTCTGGGAGAATTTTGGCCAAAGTCAAAGCCAAAGGGAATCAAAATAAATCCAACGTGTGTATTGCTGGCCGAGCCTCCTTTTCCAAAGCTAAGTGCTTAACTCCTTCACTTTTGATTGAAGCCCGATTGACATTGCTATTAATCTGTTATCACCATTATTTATTAGGGATTATAATCTCCCAAAATTAAATAATGCCGAGCGACGCTCTCGTGATAATTAGATTTCACCGTCATTTAAATTAAATGACTGGTTGTTGTGGGCCCGTCGGCCCACTCCTGATCGACTTTAATTAGCGAGCGGAGCATATCTGAATGGCCTTTGATAGGATAATATCATTGCTATTACCTGTTACATCACTATTATTTATTAGGGATAAAATGTCCCGAATTAAATAATGTGGAGCGAAGCTCTGGTGATGGTTGGTTCAGCCAACATTTTGTTGAATATTTAATTTCTTATGGGCCTGTTGGCCCACTCTCGATCAGCTTGATTTGCGATCTGAGCGTCTCCAGAGGGTAGTGCCCCGATGACGCGTTTTAGTTTGGGGGGTTACGCATTAGTCCGCACGGCACCGAGTGCTCGAGCGACGATCGTACCCTGGTACCATCTACGCCATCAGGCGCGAAGTGACTATTGCCGAACGTGGCCTATGGGGCCCGAGGGCACCAAAGCACTCAACCTCGTTTTTCCGAGGGCAGTGCGACCAACTTGGGTCTGAGTTTGAAAACTCACAGACCGATGAATATCTCTATGTGACGTTCGGCGGGCTGCTGATTGGCCCCGCCGCGAGCTGCTACGTCCATTAACCCCGCACGATGAGCCGGGCCGAGGGTCACGATGACCCATAGGCCGGTAATCGTGGGTGTTAAAGACTCCGCCATGCAAACGGTTATGTGTGCATATTTATTGTCGGGCCGTGCGGCCCGTTATCATGCTTATTGCGCAGCTGAAGCCACTCGACGCGCTCGAGCGAAATGATTAAAAGACACTCGGCCCGAATCTTGAAGACGTTCAGGGCCAGCTATAGTGGAGACCATCACGGCTGAGAGCCGATGGACGAGCATCTCCACCCAGAGGTCGAGGGCCTAGAGGAGACCACCACGGTTGAGAACCGTGGGACGAGCGTCTCCACCCCAGAGACCGATGGCCTAGGAAGAACACCTAGAGGCCGAGGGTCTAGAGGCGAATGCCATGACAGAGAACCGAGAGACGATCACCCGTCATTCAGAGGCCGAGGGCCTAGAAGAGATCGTCAGGGCCGGGGGCCGTCTGACGACATTATTATATCATGACCGGCCTCTCGGCACGGCATGATTATCTTATTTGAAGACCGGGCTCATCCCCGCGATGCGTGGATGAGGACCGTTGCTTGATTTCAGGTCGGCCTCTCTTTGCCGACATCATCATATCACGACCGGCCCCCTCGGCTCGACGTGCTCACCTTTTGGAGACCAGCCTCGTCCCCGCGTTGCGCGGGTGAGGACCGTTGCTGGATTTCAGGTCGGCCTGTCATTGCCGACATCACTATATCACGACCGGCCTCTCGGATCGGCGTGCTTATCTTTAGAAGACCGGCCTCGTCCCCGCGCTGCGCGGGCGAAGACCGTTGCTGGATTTCTTTCAGGTCGGCCTCTCATCGCCGACATCATTATATCACGACCGGCCTCTCGGACCGGCGCGATTATCATAATCGAAGACCGGCCTCGTCCCCGCCACCTCGCGGACGAGGACCGTTGCTTGACCATATCTTGATCGGCATCTCATTGCCGACATTATCATACCACGACCGGCCCCTCGGCTCGGCGTGTTCATATTTGAAGACCGGCCTCGTCCCCGCACTGCGCGGATGAGGACCGTTGCTTGTTTTCTCAGATCGGCCTCTCATTGCCGATATCGTCATATCACGACCGGCCTCTCGGCTCGGCGTGCTTATCTTTTGAAGACCGGCCTCGTCCCCGCCCTCGCGGACGAGGGCCGTTGCTTGATTTTCTCAGATCGGCCGCTCATTGCCGATATCGTCATATCACGACCGGCCTCTCGGCTCGGCGTGCTTATCTTTTGAAGACCGGCCTCGTCCCCGCCCTCGCGGACGAGGGCCGTTGCTTGATTTTCTCAGATCGGCCGCTCATTGCCGACACCATTATACCACGACCGGCTTCTCGGCTCGGCGTGCTTATCTCTTGAAGACCGGCCTCGTCCCCGCCACCCCGGGGACGAGGACCGTCGTTTGATTCTTTCGGGTCGGCCTCTCACTGCCGACACTGTCATGTTATGTTCGGCCTCTCGGCACGACATATTTATCTTTTGAAGACCGGTTTCATCCCCGCGCTGCGTTGGATGAGAGCCGTTGCTCGGATATATCGGCCTGACTGGACACTATTGCCATCTCCGTTATCAGGACCGACTGCTCAGCGATATTATGATCATTGTATATCGGCTCTCAATGCCGACCTTCTTGAG